GCTGGAGGGTATCAGAATCTGCAGGAAAGGTTTCCCCAGCAGAATTCCCTATGCTGACTTCAAGCAGAGGTATCAATGGATATTTTCATAGAATGTTAATGTGGACCATTGAAATAAAAAGGTCACAAAATGACCATTAACTCTCTCATAAAAGGTACAAGGTGCTGAATGCCAGTGTCATCCCCGATGGCCAGTTCATTGACAACAAGAAGGCTTCAGAGAAGCTGCTTGGGTCAATTGATGTCCCACATGATGAGTACAAATTTGGACACACCAAGGTAAGCACTTTCCTTTCCTTATTTAACCGAAGAATAATTACCAAGGAGGTTAAGTTGTTTAGTCCAGTATGTAGTATGATTGTTGTTTGCATCTTTTTGTCTGTCTGTCTACAGCTAATCTCGCATTCTGCTGGACCCATCAGCCTGATGTTTTTTTTAATGCTAATTTATGACTGTATGCTCTAGGACCGAGGTCGTGGTTCCAGTGGTTACTCTTCACTACTGTTAACCTGCCGGTAGTGGCCACAAGTGATCAACAATTGCTTCAGTTTGGACTCTTCAATCAAACATTACAGCAATGATCATATACGAACAGGGTTAGAGATTAAAGGCGTCCTGTTGTTGCAGTAAACCGCAGTCATCTTCGCAAATGAAAAACTCAATTGAGCGTGGACTCAGGCAGAGCGTGTCTTCTCATGTCAGCAGGAGGACATTTCGTTAGTTGTTAGCTGTTAGCAGATGACAGCAGATAACACATTTTTTAGCTGTGATTCTGGGACAGCTGCATAGATAAAAATGACAGCATATGAACGTGTGAGTGAAAAATGCATCCGACACAGGTTAAGTCAAGAAAATAAGTAATTGTTGTATTTATTCAATCAACCATTACAGAAGTGGTCGTTGCAGACAGACCATGCTGAGTTTTAGATGATGTGAAGTATTCACTTCCTCAGTTCATCCTCCCTGTAATTTATTTGTTGTTTGTTTAGGTGTTCTTCAAGGCCGGTCTGCTAGGTACCCTTGAGGAGATGAGAGATGAAAAACTGGCATCACTGGTCACCATGACTCAAGCTTTGGCCCGTGGTTACGTCATGAGAAAGGAGTTTGTGAAGATGACTGAGAGGAGGCATGTTGAAAATAACTCATTCTGAATGATGGTATGAAAAATCACAAACAACATTGTCCATAACAGCTACTTCTTGTCTGCAGGGAAGCCATCTATTCCATCCAGTACAATATCCGCTCATTCATGAATGTGAAACACTGGCCATGGATGAAGGTGTACTACAAGATCAAGCCTCTGCTGAAGAGTGCTGAAACTGAGAAGGAGCTGGCAAACATGAAGGAGAACTATGAAAAGATGAAAACTGACTTGGCTGCTGCCCTGTCCAAGAAGAAGGAGCTGGAGGAGAAGATGGTTTCCCTTCTGCAGGAGAAAAATGATCTGCAGCTGCAAATAGCATCTGTGAGTACACATCAACAGACAGTTGTGCTTTTTCATGTTGTTCATTGTTGGTGTTCTGACATCTATTTGCATTAAATGGATTAGGAAGGAGATAATCTCTCAGATGCTGAGGAGAGATGTGAGGGTCTTATCAAGGGCAAGATTCAGATGGAGGCCAAACTCAAAGAGACAAGTGAGAGACTGGAGGATGAAGAGGAAATCAATGCTGAGCTCACTGCCAAAAAGAGAAAGCTGGAGGATGAATGCTCTGAGCTCAAGAAGGATATTGATGACCTGGAGCTTACCTTGGCCAAAGTGGAGAAGGAGAAACATGCCACTGAGAACAAGGTTTGTAAATAATAATCTGACCATCATATCAAGTAAAATGATAATGATTAGCGCTTATTCACGAGATCTTTCTTGCACACTTAGGTCAAGAACCTGACCGAGGAGATGGCCTCTCAGGATGAGAGCCTTGCTAAGTTGACCAAGGAAAAGAAAGCCCTTCAGGAGTCTCATCAGCAGACACTTGATGACCTGCAGGCTGAGGAAGACAAAGTCAACACTCTGACCAAGGCCAAGACCAAGCTTGAGCAGCAAGTGGACGATGTAAGTTTACAAATACTCTTGGATTGAAGAAGCAAAATTGTTCTTGGTCGTGATGATTACAGTGTGAACAAATATTATTTGTTCAGCTTGAGGGTTCTCTGGAGCAAGAGAAGAAGCTGCGTATGGACCTTGAGAGAACCAAGAGGAAGCTCGAGGGTGATCTGAAACTGGCCCAGGAATCCATTATGGACCTTGAGAATGAAAAGCAGCAGTCTGATGAGAAAATTAAAAAGTAATGTACTTTTTTGAATTTGCACAACAACCATTCTTTTGAAAAAGAATGTCAACTGCATGAACTATATGTATTTTATCTTTAATTCTCACAGGAAGGACTTTGAAACCAGTCAGCTCCTTAGCAAGATTGAAGATGAGCAGTCAATGGGTGCTCAGCTTCAGAAGAAGATCAAGGAGCTTCAGGTGACATATTTTGTTACAGAAAACATTACTGCACCCATTTCCTAATGTGTGTATCAAAAGTGAAAGTTTACTGAAAGAAATTACACCTACATTCAACAGGCCCGCATTGAGGAACTGGAGGAAGAGATTGAGGCTGAGCGTGCTGCTCGTGCCAAGGTGGAAAAGCAGAGAGCTGACCTCTCCAGGGAACTTGAGGAGATCAGTGAGAGGCTAGAGGAGGCTGGTGGTGCCACCTCTGCTCAGATTGAGATGAACAAGAAGCGTGAGGTTGAGTTCCAGAAGCTCCGTCGAGACCTTGAGGAGTCCACTCTGCAGCATGAATCCACTGCCGCTGCTCTTCGCAAGAAGCAGGCTGACAGCGTTGCTGAGCTGGGAGAGCAGATTGACAACCTCCAGCGTGTTAAGCAGAAGCTTGAGAAGGAAAAGAGTGAATACAAGATGGAGATCGATGACCTCTCCAGCAACATGGAGAATGTTGCTAAAGCAAAGGTACACAATGCATGCCATGCTATTTTATTACCCAAATTAATGTCGACAATATAGCATGTAATATTATGAATGAAATCTGATCAATGATCTCATCTCTCTTTTACTCATTAGGGAAATCTTGAAAAGATGTGCCGTACTCTTGAGGACCAACTTAGCGAACTGAAGACCAAGAATGATGAAAATGTTCGTCAGATCAATGACACAAGTTCACAGAAAGCCCGTCTCCTGACAGAAAATGGTATCTGCAAGTTATCATTGAAAGTTTTGTTGTGCATGTTATTGAGAAACGTAAGATGAACTAATGTATCATGACATTTTTCACACAAGGTGAGTTCAGCCGTCAAATTGAAGAGAAAGAATCGCTTGTCTCCCAGCTGACCAGAGGCAAACAGGCCTTCACACAGCAGATTGAGGAGCTGAAGAGACAGACTGAAGAGGAGGTTAAGGTAAGAAACCATTAAGTAAGTGTACATTGGAATTATCCGAGTTGGAATTTAGAAATTTTGTAAATTCATGAATCATTTTTATAAACAGGCCAAGAATGCTCTTGCCCATGGACTGCAATCAGCTCGCCATGACTGTGATCTGCTGAGAGAGCAGTTTGAGGAGGAGCAGGAGGCCAAGGCTGAACTGCAGCGTGGAATGTCCAAGGCCAACAGTGAGGTGGCTCAGTGGAGATCTAAGTATGAGACTGATGCTATTCAGCGCACTGAGGAGCTTGAGGAATCCAAGTGAGTAACATTCAAACAATTATGTAGCCAATTCAGAAGTTTAGCATTTTAGGGATTCTCAACTGGCAACTGCATTACTTGTATCAACAATTGAATTTAAATGCATTTATATATTTTACATGCAGTTAATATCATATTTTGCGGCAAACATTTTAGATTACAGCACTGCTTTAATATGTTTATCCAAGGTCTCAGATGATGTATTTGTTTGTATTTCATACATTCAAAAATATCTGGAAAAAGGTTTTTGTAACGATTTGTATTTCACTGAGCGACAAATTCTTCTTCAAACAGGAAAAAGCTTGCCCAGCGCCTTCAGGAGGCTGAGGAGCAGATTGAGGCAGTGAATTCCAAATGTGCTTCTCTTGAGAAAACCAAACAGAGGCTCCAGAGTGAGGTGGAGGACCTCATGATTGATGTGGAGAGGGCCAACAGTCTCGCAGCCAACCTTGACAAGAAGCAGAGGAACTTTGACAAGGTAGCATTGTTTACTTTGTGTGGCCAAGCCATACCAACTATAACATAGATATATATATATATTTGTCTTTATAGTGCTACGCAACCAACTGAACTGTAGTAATTGTGCTATTCAGGTGTTGGCAGAGTGGAAACAGAAGTATGAGGAGGGTCAGGCAGAGCTTGAGGGAGCACAGAAGGAGGCTCGTTCTCTCAGCACTGAGCTGTTCAAGATGAAGAACTCTTATGAGGAAACTCTGGATCACCTGGAAACCATGAAGCGTGAAAACAAGAACCTGCAACGTGAGTTCAACATAATGTAAATTGTTCATTGTATTCAACACGTGTATGTGTTGGAATACAGTATTTATATGTACACTTCAAGGCTTAACAATATTAAACAAATGTATCTATCTGCAGAGGAGATCTCAGATCTGACTGAACAGATTGGTGAGACTGGCAAGAGCATCCATGAGCTGGAGAAGTCCAAGAAGCAGTTGGAGACAGAGAAGACTGAGATCCAGACAGCTCTTGAAGAGGCTGAGGTACATCTTTTTTTCCTGGAGAGATCTTCTGAAAAAAATTGCAAATATAAAAAAAGAAGCAGAAATGGATTGAAGGCAGTGATGAATATTTCATTCTTTGATATCATCAGGGAACTCTGGAACATGAAGAGTCTAAGATCCTGCGTGTCCAGTTGGAGCTCAACCAGATCAAGGGTGAGGTGGACAGGAAGCTGGCAGAGAAAGATGAGGAGATGGAGCAGATCAAGAGGAACAGCCAGAGAGTGATTGACTCCATGCAGAGCACTCTGGACTCTGAGGTCAGGAGCAGGAACGATGCCCTGAGGATCAAGAAGAAGATGGAGGGAGACCTGAATGAGATGGAGGTCCAGCTGAGCCACGCCAATCGCCAGGCTGCTGAGTCCCAGAAGCAGCTGAGGAATGTGCAGGCACAGTTTAAGGTATTGTAAGACACAGAGTTGTTCCACAGTCTACGGTCAGTACAGGGACATTTTGGCATTCATGGGAATATTTTCATGACATTTTTTCACTAGGATGCACAACTGCACCTTGATGATGCTGTTAGAGCCCAGGAAGACTTCAAGGAACAAGCTGCCATGGTGGAACGCAGGAACGGTCTCATGACTGCTGAAATTGAGGAACTTAGAGCTGCTCTGGAGCAAACAGAGAGAAGCCGCAAAATGGCAGAGCAGGAGCTGGTGGACGCCAGTGAGCGTGTTGGACTTCTGCACTCTCAGGTGAACAAACTCCTTTAGTTTCTTCAATAATTCAATAATGAGATTTACTATAGTGTAAAAATGAGACATGTGATGATTTAACTGCGAAAATCATTTTATCTTTTAGAACACAAGCCTCATGAACACCAAGAAGAAGCTTGAGGCTGATCTGGTCCAGGTCCAGGGTGAAGTGGATGACACTGTTCAGGAAGCAAGGAATGCAGAGGAGAAGGCCAAGAAGGCCATCACTGATGTAGGTTTAAATTTTGTTCTTACTTTTACTCCAATGTGGTTTTTAAAGATATTGCTAAATAACATGTTATGCTGTCTCCTCTAGGCTGCTATGATGGCTGAAGAGCTGAAGAAGGAGCAGGACACCAGTGCTCACCTGGAGAGGATGAAGAAGAACCTGGAGGTTGGTGTCAAGGACCTGCAGCACCGCCTGGATGAGGCTGAGAACCTGGCCATGAAGGGTGGCAAGAAGCAGCTCCAGAAACTTGAGTCAAGGGTAAGAAAGTCATGTTAAGGTTTACAAAGCTGAAGCAAGACATTGAAACAATATGGAAACTTGCTTATTTTCTTATTGTGTTTTGAAGGTGCGTGAGCTGGAGACAGAGGTTGAGACTGAGCAGAGACGTGGAGTAGATGCTGTTAAGGGTGTCCGCAAATATGAGAGGAGAGTGAAGGAGCTCACCTATCAGGTACAGTCCCTTTGATAGTTAAAATGTACAGGACAAAATTATCCAATATACTTACCATTAAAGACATTTTAACTTGCACATCTACATTGTCTATTACAGACTGAAGAGGACAAGAAAAATGGCTCCAGGCTGCAAGATCTGGTTGACAAGTTGCAACTCAAGGTGAAGGCCTACAAGAGGCAGTCTGAGGAAGCGGTAAGGACAAAACATTTATTTTAAACAATGCAAACGTAATACTATTATACAGTGGCGGGCCGTGCATTTTATTCCTGGCCCTTCACTGCTGTCCTGCAGCTGAAATGCCACCTTACAACCTCATGATGGTGCCACAGCTACAGTTATTATTTGTTTCTAGGGCTGTGACTATATACGTATTCGTATTAAACCGTTCAGTATGGGGTTTACAAACCGAATAATACGTTTGAATAATACTAGTGCATTTGGAAAATGCAGAAGCTTGAATTGTGGGAAATATAATGTTTTCTGCGCTCATGTAGGACAGTGGTTCTCAACTGGTCTGGCTGCGGGACTCACCATCACTCCTTAATGACAAGCCTCGACTTATTTTCTCTTTTGGAGACTGTCTTATGATTTTACTTTCACAACTCGCATAATAGTTGTACTGCTCTGGTATCTCTTTCCTCGTCTCAGCCCCAGGAAATTTGTCAGAATGCCCATATTTGATTGGCTGAGCTGCATCACGTGATGTGATTCACAACAAATTGGTCGGTGTTTTTCCTGCACCCCTGAACAAGTGCCGTAAATGCTGGAATAATTCCGCTGCATAAAAAATATCCCTCTAAACTAAAAGCACAAGATTTTTTTATTTTCTTTTGTCAGGCAAAGGGCCGCGACCCACTGAAAACGGGTCTGTGACGCACCAGTTGAGAATCACCGATGTAGGAGACAACAGAACCGGAACAAAAAAAAACACAACAAAAAACACCTGGGGCTCCGCAAGTGTTCTGGGAGGCTATGCTAACTAGCTTAACGGGAAAACAACAGCAGCAACATGCATTCTGCTACACACTCAAGGGCCATTCAGATATTAGATGTAAAAAAACAAATGCAGTTGATTTACAAATGCAGTTGACTTACCAAACTCCATGCTCCTTTCTTTGTTGACAAAGACTTTCATCCCAGTTAAATCCCAACTCACAAATCCGTTTCTCCTGCTTCAGCCATTGAGTGTTAAAAAAACAAAGCTAGGTAAAAAAAAAAATAATCTACACCAAGCAAAATGCTAAAAATGTCATAATTTCTTCCATATCTTTCAATTTGAACTCTCACTACTCCGACTAAGCGTCTGATGGCTATTTTAAATGTTGTTTCACGATAGTCACCTGCTCGCCCACTGACCAATCACAGCACATGCTGCACCTCACTGAAGAGCTGCACATGGAAACTGAGCTGCACGTAATGCTGACGTAGTTGTAGGCCAGCTAGCAGGCTCTGGCACGTCAAAGAATACGCCCAACATGTCAAACTAAAGATCTGATTGGTTGAACACTATGACAATCAACAATATCGTCCCCATTCACTTAAACTGCACATGGATTCACGTGTGAGTCTGCAGGCCTCGGGCCTCTCTTCTTACCTAGAGACACAGAGGTGAAATCTGATTGGATGAAAGCTCTACTTAAAACAAGCTGTACTGGAAGCAGAGCAACTGAGGAAGACAGTAGCTGTGCAATAAGAAAATAAGATAATGGGGAAAATATTTTTATAAATTACAATACATGTAGTGTATTTATGAAAAAATATTAAATTATAAAATAGCTATAACTTTGTGATTCTGTTTAGGCAGGCAGAGAAGGCCTTGCAGGCGCTGACGGCCCACCACTGCTATTATAATTATTTCATGTACACTAGACATTTGACCTTTTTAAACATTTATATATATTTTTTTATGTATGCTGTATTTTCTTGTATTCCAGGAGGAGCAGGCCAATGTCCATCTGTCCAAGTGCAGGAAGGTCCAGCATGAGCTGGAGGAGGCTGAGGAGCGTGCTGACATTGCAGAGTCCCAGGTCAACAAGCTGAGAGCAAAGAGCCGTGACTCTGGCAAGGTAAACTATGTCAGTTTAGTGAAAAATCACCAAAATGTTAATCATCATTCTTTGATATATCTCTCAATATGTTAGAGCAGATTATTTACAGTATTATATTGACCTTAAATTCAAAGACTATAAAATGAACTGATCAAAATGTTTGTCCCCTTAAGTTTATTAAAACTCACACAAACCATTTATTTGTTTTTTACAGGGAAAAGAAGTAGCTGAATAAAGCATATTGAATGTTTCATTGTGTTGAATCATAAAATATGATATAATTCATGCTGAAACAATAAAGGTTTAGTTGTTGATCTGAAATTCTGTCTGTAATACTTGTATCACTTTGTTTCCCATGAAAGGAAGTTGATGTGAGATTTGGATAATACATTTTTATTCTCAGGGCATGAAAATCTTCCAAATAATCTTTAAGGGTAACCAAGATTTTTACAGTCGTTAACTAACACCAACTGATTTTGTTGGAGCAAAATAAAATAAACTGTTCATAATTCATACAACATTTAACATTGTTAAAGCCCCTTGAGATAAAATCACTGTAGCAATTGTTGGGATCTGACTATATGGCTTCGACATGTGCTGTGGAACAAAGAGAGTCAGGCCTTCCCTTTTGCAAGCAAAGGTTTCATTCTGATTGTAGTTTGAGCACCAAACCCCCAGCTCTGATGAAATTCACATTAGGGTGTGAGTTTCCTCCCCCCCAAAACTATGCGTTCCTGAAGTTACCTGAAAGCAGCGCCGCAATCTAATTGGCCGAGAGCCAAGACAACCCAGGACCCCTGTGGTTCAGCCACTGTTCTACAAAACTACCTGCAACCCCCACCTCAAGGCTTTTTCCCTTCGACCTCCGTCGAGCTAGGGAGCACACCAACGTTGTTTCCCTTTTCGTCCAAATCCTAGGTCTAACAGTTTATATTCGCTGGCCGAATTCACCAAACTATCTATTTTATCTTTGTTCGTATCCACGAAGCGAACCCTTTTATTCCTGCAGAAGTGAAGAAGCAAGACTTCTTCAGAGAGAGAGAGAGAGAGAACTTCCACTCTCCACCAAGCGCCTCGTTTGCTCTGGCCATAAGGACGCGAAAATCCCTGATCCAGACGAAAGCGAAATAGATTCTGGGCAGAGTTAGAGAGAGTTAGTTTGTGTTTATTTTATCTTGTTTGTGTGCTTAAAGTACTGTTCATTTTTATAACGTGGTATATGCTTTATGATCACCGACACTGGCGATCCCTGAAATTGCTAGTGTTGTGTAGAAGTTAGCGTGTATTCCATGCTACCGTGATTCGTGTCGAGACAGCCGCAGTGAGGTCGAAGTTGCTTCTCATCAGTTCAGGAGGTCAGAACAAAGAGTCGCGGTTCTTGCTCCCCTGGTTGAGAGAGCAATCTTCCGTACTCCCGCGCGGCGCAGAGGATCTTCATCTTTTGTTTTATTTCATTTTGTTTTGTTCCTTTCCCTTCTCTTTTACTCATCCACACACACATATAGCTTTGAGCTAATGTAGCTACGTGCTAAACGGCTAGCGGCACGTATAGACGCCAGGTCTCCTGTTGGCTATCCGCCATTTTTGATTCTCACGCATGAGAGACGTCACCACGTCCCAACTATGTCATACGTCGCTGAGCTGTTCCCTCGCTCCACCCTCTTACGCACACATACACACACACACACACTTCCCCCCCCCCCTCTTTTCAATCGTCTGTTGATTTTAGATAGCGTGCTCATGAATGTATAGTTGTTGTTAGTTTAGATATTAGTTGACTAGATCATTAGTATTAGAACGTAATAAACTCTGTTATATTTTAAAGAGCAGCTGTCTGTGATTACTTTGTGCATGTATTGTGATGATAGCTGCATATGTGGTCTGTGCTCGAACTTAAACCTTCACTTTCACTCTGAATGTGTAATCGTACTCAGACTATTGACATTGCGAGTCAACACTAATTATGAGACTTAGTTTTATCGTTTGGTTATTGGTCTCTGTTTGCAGGGTGGTTCCCCGTTATTATTAATAATCATTAATAATTATTACTGACATTAATAATACTATTGATGTCAAGAATTTAGTTTCTTTGATGCTGATAACCCAAACACGCTCCTTTATGTTCCCAACATAATGGTGCCCCCTTTTTGAGGCTATGTTATTCCCAACACAATTGTAACTTACAAAGTTTTTAGCCAACCAGTGACCAGAAATCCTAGAAACGTCCTTAATATTTGAGGTGAAGGTGGTATTGGCAGCTGACAAGGAAACAAACAAAAGTGTCACTTAAATCACTTTAATCCTAACCTGGACAACAGGAACAGTAATAGATACATTAATTGCATAATCTAAGACGGGCTCTCACTAGTGGGCTATTTATGGAAGCCACAGGAAGTACTAGACAGCCTGATCAATCTTGCATACTCATATTTGGCTCTGATCAGAGAGCAGTCAGCCGCACTTGTTCACAAAATCAACAAATGTTGTCACTATATATTAAATCAAATATGTATATATATATACAGTATATATGAACCAGACCCTCCTCAAAAACAGTGTGCATGCACATACATTCAAACATATATTCAAAGATAAATATTAATTGGTTGGAAGTGTGAAGTGAATGACTTGGGGACACATTATTTTCAAAGAAAATTAAATTCAGAATTTAAATCATTCTTAATAACAAGGTTTTTTTCAGATTGCCAACCACAAAACCATGTCACTTTTTTTGGTGACAATTTAGAGTGTTTTTCACGCTGCAAGTTCAACACTATTGCCCGTGACATTTTAAAATGTTGCTCAACAAATGGAATGAGGTTGACATTCAATATGCACTGCAAGGAGCCACAAATGGAGTTGAAGCTATGTCTGCAGAGTCAGTAGAAATGTTAATAGCTTGACATATGAGTGTGAAAAGCAGACATATCTCTTACACGAAACAAAAATAGCAGCAATTTTCCAGTATTTATTTCTTGTGAAACTATTTATATAAACAGTACTGCTGAAATAATTTAATTTTGAAGTTTTTTTCTCCATTTAGTATTTTTTAATCAAACAAATTAAACAACCTGTGAGATAGATTAGAATACATGGTTATCCGAAAATTAAAGTTGTATATTGTAAGTGGGGATTATCACAAATTGAGGATGTGCCTTTACTGACGGAAACCTGAACCATGAGATGTACATACCAGCAACAAGTGTCACTCACGTAGGCAACAGCTGTGAAACTTACCATATTTGGCATGTGTCCCACATTTAACTTCTGCTTTGTAAACAACACAAGTTCAACACAAGAATTCCATTGCCACTCTGTGAGTGTGGTAGAAGACCTATAAAGCTCAAGTTTGTGGTGAATTGATGTATGCTTTAGACCACAGTAGTTCAAATGTACAGTACTGTTATACAACATGATGTAATAGAGCAATATGTTATAATAATTCAACATGCTGATATTCATTATTTATTATTTTACCTACAACAATTTAGGTTAGGTATGCACAACAAATATTAACTAATTCCACACAGGATGAAAGTACAGATCAATTACATTACCTTAGCATAAAAGTGGAATTAACACACATAAGTAACCCCCCACTATGCGTAGAGTCAGTCAACAGGTGGCAGAAATTGAGGATCTAAGGGATCCTCTGAAATAGACAGAGGGAGGTTGCGAAGTCTTTGAGCAGCTGATGATGCTAGTGAGTGCATGCAAACATTCCTTGACGAATTCACAAATCAAATAATATATTCCCATCAGTCGTGTGATGATTAAAGTGAATCATCACATCCTGGAAGTTTTTGCTGAGGACCTGCAGCACTGCCTGGATGAGGCTGAGAAGAGTGGCAAGAAGTACATTCATAAACTAAAGTGTGTTTGTTTACATAGATATTCAAAACACAAAATAAATCAAACCGGAAAACGCTAAAAACATTAAGACATGCAAATTCACGTAATATCAAAAACTGATGAAAAACATTGCCAGGCTGAAAGATCTGGTAGTTAGCTGAGAGGGAAGGCCTATTAGAACATAATGCGGGAGCAGCAAGAGCTCCCTATCATGCTCTTGAGGATTAAATGCTGCGCTCAGCTCACAAGCTTGACAGATCTGGAACCGCTGGAGTTATGACAATTATGGGACCTAAAAATGGGATTAAACGAAAAGGTTGAGAAATCCTCACCTACATGTACCAACTTCTTGAAATTTTTCTTGAACAGGGAAAGAAGGCAAATGAAAAGCCCATTCTGGCTCAAGTGCTGTTTGAACAATGTAATGGTCTAACAGGAGATGACTGTAATTTTCACCACATTGTTTCCCCTGAGCAACATATTCAAATTTATATCAGAGCAATATGAAAAAAAAAACTTTACACAAAAAAATCTGCATTTCTCAAAATAATGATTGCTCCCAATATCCAAACATTCCGGGCTCTCCTGGCATTGCAGCCCTGTGTCACTGCCCTCCCCCACATTACCCTCGCCAACTGTAGGGTTGAACAATTTAAATCTCACTCATTGGCTTAGGACAATGACCGCTGTAGTCAACTTGGATTTATGGCAGCTGCAATGGAATCCAATGGTGGCCCTGAGTAACAGTAAAAATACATGTCTAAATATATCAAAACGTCCATAGGTGTCAATGTCTCAAAGCATTCCTGCAGCATAATCCACTGCTACATGTGTGGATTATTTTTGATTAGTATGTGTAATGATGTTGTCAATTTTTTCACACCAGTTTCTACTATATGCTTTCATTTACTACTTAGAGTACAACTATTTCAGCAAAACAAATCACTAGTTGGCCCAGTATTATGAAAAAAAAGAAGTCATATAATGGGTGACTAGCTCTCTGTGAGGTAGAGCTAAACCATAATTGAATGTGTTGCTCATGTTTGCACATAAAATAGTTGTCCTATTTTTGTTCCCCATCCTTATCATCTCTCTGATTAAATAAGTTTAGAATGCAAGATATCGTCCTCTATTATCGACTACACAAATAGGGCTATCCCGTCTCTGTGAATTTTGGCTGATGGGAAATGATAATTCTGCCTAAATATGGGAACAGCTCAGGAACACCACCAATGTTTATCCTACAGCTCCGAAAATGTTCTGGAAAACAATGTTTAATACACTTCTTAAGTATAAGAATCACACTTTGATGGGGTTACTTCAACAGGGACGAATAATAATGATGAACGTGTACTTGGGCTATGTTGCAACCAAAAAAGTAACACTTTGACGTGAAAGAATTTACGTTCGAAGCCTATAAAGTTCCTCAGGGTTATAGGTACACACGTAAAGCACAAGTGAAATGCGAGATGCTACGCGACTTTTGTAGATATCCGTATAGATTAAAATGTAAGCATATCTGTTCCATCATCTGTGCATCACACAGAGAACTGAAATTTGGACTGAAAAGTATTCTGTGGTGTTATATAGTTAATCAATGGGACATGGTCAGGGTCCATTTAGAAATGCCTGATATGAAAATGTAAATGTAAATCTAATCTAAAAAAACTGCTCCATATATACCCCTCTCATTTCTCTTATTGATTGAGATGATATGTGTGACTGGCCTCACTGGCTGAAATCCAAAACACCAGACAAATATCCTAGCAGCACCTGCTTCAATCGATGCCGGGAGCACACTCCACATTTGGCATGTGTCCATATTTAACTTATGCTGCGTAAGCAAGACAAGTTCAATATAAGGGGTCGACCAACACAGAGCAGGGTGGTGGTAGAAGACTCTTGGAGACTACAGCTTGTGGTAAGCATATGTTCTACATGTTTTAGAGAATGTATTAAATATTTGAGACAATACTTTTTGTTGAACAAATCTTTACAAACCTGCATTAATAACTGAAAATATATATGTTCCCAACAGGATTGTGGAATATATATCAGCATTTTCATATAGAGGGGGTCAGGTATGAACATCTTTCATTATACTAATTTGTATGTATGATATGTGAAACATTTCATTCAGTTGCAAAGTCATCCAACTTTGTCAAAAAAGTAAGTTAGTGTGAATGTAATCGCCATCAACTCAGTATGGAAAACTATTTCTAATTAACAAAGGTGAAATCAATTTGAAAGAAATATGTTGACCATTTAATTGAACTTGGTAATTCGGTTTCGTTCAATCAAATGACTTGAAGACATTTGTTTTAACAAAGATTAATATGATTACTCATATATATTATTACCTCGGAGAAGTAAACTTGCAGTTCCTTTGTAATTATCTAACAGACATAAGCCGCCACCATGAGTACAGACGCGGAGATGGCCACGTATGGCAAAGCTGCCATTTACCTACGTAAGACAGAGAGGGAGAGAATAGAGGCTCAAGCCGCACCATTTGATGCCAAGAGTGCCTGCTACGTGACCGATGTCAAGGAGCTGTACTTGAAGGGAACAATCATCAAGAAAGATGGTGACAAAGTCACAGTCAAAGTCCTGGACACTCAGGAGGTTGGTATCATAAAGTCAGAGCCAACTGGGAATTCAATATGATCAGTTCTCATTGTGACAAATGTCATGTTTCAGGAGAAGACAGTTAAAGAAGCTGACATCAGTCCAATGAATCCTCCCAAGTATGACAAGATTGAGGACATGGCCAT